GGCACGGCTTTTTACGCTCGGCCACCGTGTGGGGGGCGCCGTGCCGCCTACCCTTCAAGCTTCATGCATGTAGAGAAGATAAATACCAGCTGGTCGGCCGCCATTCGGGCCTCCCGGCCTGCTGCGGCGGCGCGGCCGGTCGAGGCCGGGCTCGGCCCGGCCCGCGACGGCTGGCCGCCGACGAGGGCGCTCGCGCTGCTCGTCAAGATGGCGGCGGTGGCGAGTGTGGCGATTGCGGCGACAAAAGTTCAGTCGTCAGCGCTCAGGCGTCTGTCGTCTGTCGTCTATTGTCGCATTGCGCACACGCGTGCGCCGCGCGACCCGCGTCGCTCCGCGAGGGCATGAGCCTTCCGCGATTCGATCCCGCAGCCAAAAGCTGCTCGCTCGAACCGCGGCCGACTCTATACCATCAAGGAAGTGCTGACTCGATTCTACCTCGAATTCTTCTACCCCCACGACTCGGAACGCGAATGTGACAGGACCATCGGGTCCTTCAGCCACCAAAGTGAGATCTCACCCGAGAGCAGCTGAGCCTGCCTCTGGCCTCACCTCCCTCTCCTTCAGGCATTCGTGGCATCGTCCTATGGGTCGTCCAGAGTATCGACCTCTGGCGAGTCAGCCAGCCCCACTTTGAGGGCGCCATGAGCAGGCGGACACATCGCTTCCAGGGAGGGGGGCGCGCTTCTCTCCACACCACATGCTAGGGGGGGGGTCCGACCCCCCCCAGAGGCTTCACCACATGCTGGGGGGGGGGGTCACCGCCGAGGACCCCCCAGAGACTCGTGGTCAGACCCTCCGGGCCCTTGATTTTACGCCTCATTTTCGCAGTATTTTCGAGGGGAAAATCATCCTTTGAAGCTACATGAGCCTTGAGACTGGTCAGAGTCTCCAAGATATTGGACTTTCAGCCACGATTTCACAACTTTGGGGGCAAAATCGGCTCTCTGGCGGCTATTCCTAGCCCACGAACTGCTGGGGGGTGCCCACCACATGCTAGGGGGGGGGGGGCCGACCCCCCCAGAGGCTTCACCACATGCTAGGGGGGGGGGGGGGCGTGGAAAAAAACCCCCCCCCCCCCCTGGAAGCGATGTCCGCCTGCTCCATGAAGTACAGCGATCGCCACCTCGCTGGCCTCTCCGCAGGCCTCCCCGACCGCGTCGAACTCATCGGCGCGGGCTCTCTCGGCTACGGGACCGGCCCCAGCTTCGGCTGAGGGCTGACAAGCTGCCGAGCCCAAATCACTGTGAGAGTCGTGATTTCTTGTTGGTTTTCAAAAATCTCTCTCTGCATGTAGAGAAGTGGCAGTCGTGATTTCTTGTTGGTTTTCAAAAATCTCTCTGCATGTAGAGAAGTGGTAGTCGTGATTTCTTGTTGGTTTTCAAAAATCTCTCTCTGCATGTAGAGAAGTGAGTGTGAGAGTCGTGATTTCTTGTTGGTTTTCAAAAATCTCTCTCTCTGCACGACGGAAGGAGTTTTTGTATCCGCTTTCTCTCTTTTATTTGGAAGCGAGGCGGCCGGTGGCGGCGGAGCTCCGGGCGGTGGTGCAGTTGAAGGGACTTGGAGCACTTGGAGTGCAGTCATTAACCGCACATCCAGGGCCGGGGGGCTAAGAAGCACACCCAGCGGGCCGGATGATTGGCATGGACGAAGCGCTACTTGCTCAGCTGAAAGGGGGGGCTTGGACTGGGCAGCATTGTAGATCCTTGGGCGAGGCTAGGGGCGGCGAGGGTGGTGGAGCGGGCGGTCTGTCAGCGCTAAACCGCACCCGCCGGGGGGCGGGCCGGATCTCCACGTGTTCCCAGACTGCCCCATTGGAGGTAGGCCGCTCGGAGGGAGGGGAGGAGACGACTATCTCCGCAAGAACCTCAGAGTTACGAGCGACCTCCCCTTCCCCCTTACAGGCCGAGGGGTGTGTGTGTGTTGTGTGTGTGTGTTGGTTTGTTTGTGTGAGGGCAGGGCAGGGCAGGGCGGCGGCGAGCGGCGAGCGGCGTCTGCGAGGTCGGCGGCGAAGAGAGGCGATGGTGACGTGCCACACGGTGGCAGCGTTCACGGCAGCAGCGCCGATGGCGGTCCCGCGGCGGCGGCGGCGGAGTGTCGATATTAGCGGGTAGTCGTGTGTATGTGGCGTGGTGTATTGTGTCGTGTCCGATTTTAGCTCCGAGAGTAGAGGCCTTTCGCAGACGCAGTTCGAGGTGGTGTCGAGGAGTGGTGTCGAGGGTGTCGAGGGTGTCGAGCGTGTCGAGCGTGTCGAGCGGGTGTCGAGTGTTGTCAAGGTGTTTAGCGTCTAAGGTGTCGAGGTATCCAAGGTGGCAGGATGCAGTTGCAGCCCATAACAAAACTTGGGCCGCAGCTGCAAAGCTGTTTCATCGCTTAGTTGCAGCCTCTCAAAGTTGCACCCCTGTTGATGTAGCACAACCTGTGAGCACAACCAGTTTACTCTGTGGACATTTGAGGACATCAAGCTCACTAGTGCCAGGAGTCATTGCCACTGCACAAGGTGCTGTGCAGGCGCAGCACCTAAGGCTACAGCACACCCCATGCAGCAGCGTCGCCGCGCAGCGTCGTTCGCCCCTGCAGCGTCACCGGCGCACAAAGCGCAACTGACCACAGCGCTCATGGCACAAGGCTGGTGCCATGAGTCAGTGGACATATTGCCACTGCACAAGGTGCTGTCCAGCAGCTAAGGGCTACAGTACCCCATCGCAGCAGCGTCGCCGCCGCTGCCAGCGTCGCCGTTGCAGCGTCGCCAGTGCACAAAGCGCAATGGTCCAATGGACCACAGGTCCGCACTCATGGCACAAGCTCACTGGTGTGAGGATTCATTGCCACTGTACAAGGTGCTGTGCAGCACCTGAGGGCTACCTGAGTACTGCCATGGTTGCTACATTGGTCATTGCAGGGGTGCAACTGAGCTGCAACTTGAGCTAGAACTTGAGAGGCTGCAACTGAGGGATGAAAGTACTGGCAGCCAAGTATTGCTGCTGCAACCCTGATTTTCTAACTCTGTGACTCCAATGGGTCTACGTCTCTGCTGTGTACACTGTGTTAGGATCATCAGAGGTGTCGAGGTGGTGTCGAGGTGGTGTCGAGCGGTGTCGAGCGGTGTCGAGGGGTGTCCGAGGTGTCGAGCGGTGTCGAGGTGTCGAGTTTGGCACCTTGACACGGACGAGCATGGTCCCAGCCTAGATGGTGTCGAGGGGTGTCGAGGGGTGTCGAGGGGTGTCGAGTTGGTCGAGTTGGCATGGGGTGTCGAGGTGTCGAGTCGGTGTCGAGGTTTGGTGTCGAGGTGTCGAGGCCAGGGCTCAGGGTACACATGGAAGAACTAAAACCCTCGGAGACCCGTGTACCCGTGTTTGCTTTACGGCCCCTTCCGAACGCGCTCCCCCCAAGGGTCAGGGCTCTCTAGCCCGCAGCCCGATACCGACCATCTGACCCGCTGTGGGTGCGCTTCTAGCTCCCCGCGGCCCTGGATGTGAGGTTACAGACCGCACTCCAAGTGCTCCAAGTGCCCCGGGACGCGGGAGCCATGAGAGGTACCATTGTGACTGAGTCGAGTGATTGAGAAACGAGGCCGGCCGGATCAACGACCTCAAAGGCTTCTACGTCAAGTGCGGCCAGGTCGCCGGCGCGCCGCGGCAGAGGAGGCGCGGGAGATGAGACATGAGAGACCGGCCCTTAGGAGAATCGAGAGGCCGCGAGAGGGAGGGACAGGGATATGAGCGTCTAGCCTCGAGCGGGCGGCGCCAGCGTGCGGTGTTTGCGCAGAAGAAAGTGGTCATTCTCTCCGCCAACCAACCTGGGCTCTCGCGCGGTCAGCCGACACACCACTCGAGACGCGGCCTCTAGACTCTGCACAGGGACGGGCCGCGGCACCCCCGACTACCTTCCCACGCCTGCTGCGCAAGCGCGGTCCGCGTCGCCGCCCACTCCTCTGCGGCGACGTTTTTCTCTTTCACTGTTTGGCTCACACGGCGCTTCGCCGAGTGTCCGAGAGCCGCTTCGCGGACCTCTCTGTCCGGCAGACGCATGGACCGGTACGACGCGTGCCACAAGGTGCTGCTGGTAGGAAACGTTGCGTGCGGCAAGACGTCGCTCGTGACGCGACTGCGCACCTCAACATTCGACGCGCGGACCACGTCGACCGTGGGCGTGGACTTCAGCGTGGCGACCATCTCCGGCACGGACAACAAAACGCTGCGGCTACACCTGTGGGACAGCACGGGGCACGAGCGCTTCCGCTCCATCACCACGTCGTACTACCGCGTCGCCCACTGCGTGCTGCTGTGTGTGGACACGACCTCCGAGGACGCGATCGGCGCGTGCGATGCTTGGCTGGCGGCGGTGCAGGAGTACTGCGCGCCGGGCACGCCCCTCCTCCTGGTGGGCACAAAGATCGACTTGGCCGACGAGCGAGCAGTGGACGCGCAGGCGCTGCGCGGGGTTGCCGCGCGCGCGGGCGCTCAGTACGTCGAGACTTCCTCCGCGACCGGGGAAGGGGTAACCGGGGCTTTTTAAACTGGGGTCCCCCCGTTTTAAAAGGGGGGGGGAAAGCCCAAGGCTTTTCCCCCCCCGATAAAAAACCCGAGCCCCCCCAAAGGGGGGTCCCCGGGGGGGTTAACCCTAAAATAAGGGTTTTGGGGGGGGGTAAAAGGGGCCCCAAAGGCCCGGAGGGGGGGGGTTTCCCCCCCCCCCCCCCCGGATTTTTTTTCCACGCCAAGGTTAAAACGTTTGGGGGTTTGCCCCCCCCCCCCCCCCCTCTATCATCTCTGACCCAATGCCAGGTGAGCTCGGGCCTCCGGGGCGGCTGCGCATCGCCACCTGAGCTGGGCCTCCTCGCCGTTTTGGAGCTCCAACGCACATCCCGCCCCCGCCGCACCCGCTCGCACGCATGCGCCGGACGTGCACGCGCCCTGTCTTCACTTAAGACCGCACAGCTCTCGGCCCAACTTGCGGCCGGCCTTGCGCTTGAGAGAGCGGTGGTGCCTGGGTGGTGCGGGCGCCTCAGAGAAGGATGGGATGACCGCGAGTGGGTCACTTCTGAGAGGGGAGAGCGTGTTCTGAGGCGGGCCGGCCGCGATATATTGAAATGAGATCCCAATACAAAAGAAAAGGATACGATAATTATCGTGTACCAAGCGACGCATTTTTTCGCGAGAAATCGCAAGACGGGCCAACCGGACACCAGAGAAAAGTAAAAGAAAGTGAGAAAAAGAAATGAAAATAAAAAAATCCCGGCCGTCCACTGCCCGTGTCAGCGGCAGCCGGCACGTCCGACGAGTCGAAAAAAGGAGGGGACGGCGGAGTGTAGTGTGCAAGCACCCCACTCCCCCGCCCCCCGCCCTGAGGACCCCACATGCCCGTGCCTCCCTACCTAGCTAGACGACATCAGAGCACCCCGTTAATTCCGATGACACCGGAAACTCAGACGCTTTCGCACCACCCCGATACCTGCGAGCTGTGAGGAACGCAGCGGTGAACCAGGGCAGGACTGCCAGGTCAAAGCAGCACAGCGGGAAGAGGGCAAGCCGGCAACCAAAGCGCACCAGCGCGGTGATGAAGGTGGCAAAGCTAATCGCCTCGCCGCAGCCATATGCCAGGATGGCAAGGTCGGCCCTTCGCAGCGTGCCCAGAGTTAAGCCAAAGCAGGAGCTGAACGAAGCGTACATGACCGGATGAACATACTCATCATGGTGAAGGACTGATTCCCTCGGGAACAGCAGTGTGTGAATCAGTCGGAGGAAGAGGCCCACTACCGAGACGATGCAGAAGAGCGCATCGTATTTGTCTGGGGGAAGCGTCGCGATTCCGATCGCGAGAGAGCAAGCGGCGGCCAGGATGAGCTGGAGCATCGGATCTGAGCAGGCAGCAGAGAGGGCGGCTCGTGCCCTGTGATTCAGCAGATGCGAGTTTTCGGAGGTGGACCCACTGTCCAATGGCAGCGCGCAGCACAAGTTGATGCTGACCGCGGCTATAATCGAGGCGGTGAAGATGAAGAAGTGTTTGTGCGGCTCCTGCAGCGACACAAAGCCGAGAGGGGAGCCGCCAGAAGTCAGTGGCTCTGGGGGCGACGGCGTGGGGGATGGCGGAATAGCTGAACTAAACAACTGAGACTCCCCGCCATCGTCGCCACCGTTGCCTAGCTCCGCTTCGATGCGATCGAGCAGCCCCTGCAGTTCTGTTAAACGCGCATCCTTTTGCAGCCTGTTGCCAGACTCGCTCATAGCGTCAGATGCCGCAGGGTCGAGCGCCTCTTTCAGCCGCCGCAAGACCTCGCTGCGCTCGGTGGCGCTGCCGCCATAGCGAGCGAGCTCCTCCGCGGCGGACAGGGAGGTGGCCGCGATGGATGTGATCTCCGCCTCGATGCGATCACACACCCGTTTGAAGGCGTCGGACACGGTGAGTGCAAGCGGGTCCACGAGATGGTTCAGAGTCGCGGAGGGTACGAGCGTCCCCTTGGAGAGGCGCATCTCCACCATCCCGTTGGAAGATATCCAATCTGGTGGCACGGCGTCCAGGGCGCTCAATGCGTCAGCCCTGGCCTGCTCAGCTTCCGAGGGGAGCGCCACGCCGTCTTCGCAGGACCGCGAGGCCGCTGCCGCCGACCGACCAGCAGCAAGTTCTGACTCATCTTCGATGATGACCAGCGCCGGCGGGGAGGCCCGGGTGGTGTTGTTGATGACTCGAAATCGTGGGTGGCCAACCGACCACACGCCACGCCCACGGCTGTTCTCTGGGGAGTCAGCATGCCCCACGGTGAGTGCGCGGGTACGTCCGACGGGAACCGCAATGCCGCACCGAGAGCAGATTGGGCAAAACATGTGCCTGAAGTCGCGACCACTTCGGGTAAACTCCGTGCACCGCGATGAGTCCTTCATCAGCTGGCCGCCCCAGCAGGAGGTCACCACCACTGCAGGCGAGGCTTGTTTCGCTGCCCGCTCGCCATCCGCCGAGCTGGAGGCGCGGGAGTGGGAGGTAAAAGATGGACTATCGTCGGGCAGGTCCGGCAGGTCGAAGGGGTAGTCTGCTAGCAGGCTGCTCCAATCCTCGTCGTCCGACATGCCTTCGCCGCTCCTAGTTAGACCGCGTGGCGCGTGCGCGTCAGCGCATATCGGGATTCACCGCGACGCCTCAAGCAGCCCTCCCCGAGTGTGTTTTGTACTAATCTTCGCCCTCAACGACTTTCGAACATGTTTTTCTCTTTTTAATTGCTTCCGGGTGAAGGAGCACGTTGCAAGAGAGAGATTTTCAGCAATACCAAACAACTCTAACGTTGCAACGCTCGCGCAACTTGTTTGTGTGTGCGAGACCTCGCGCTGCTCATCTAATTAATGCATTTTGTTGGAAATCTCGCCAAGCTTTGCCTCGCCTGAGCTAATTTAAGTATAAAGAAAGAGTGACCGTGTCACTGTGCGATTTCGGGGCCGGGGTTTGTGCGTTTATGTGAATGCAGTCGATGGGATAGGGGATACCTAGGTACCCCCGCCAGAAGAGGCGTGCCTCGCAGCTCCTTCAATTTGACGCGGGTGGCGAGAGTCCCTTCCCGAGCTCTCCCGGTTGGCGATAGGTAGACGAACAAAGGACCGATGGGCTCTGCGTCCTCAAAGACGCGTAAGGACAAGGCCAAGAGCAGCACCATCGCTGCATGCCCGACCGACACAGCTGCAGCAAAGGCCTGCCCGACGAGACTCGACGATGGCCTGGCGCAAGTCGCGATGTTTGCAGGTCTCCGGCAGGTGACGATGGGCGTGTTGCGCATCGACTACGACTACCAGACCAACTTGGGAGACATACTCGACCCACGATCCTTTGATTTTCGGCTAGTCTCGGCCACAGTCGAGGGGCTTACCTTCAAGAGGGCTCAGGAAGGCGAGCCGCTACCCTGCTACGTTATGAGCAACCTCGACGGAGCAGTTAAGAAGCTGATCGACGCAGGAGCGGACTTCATCGTCGGCGACTGTGGCTTTCTAGTCTACTGGCAGGTGTACGTGCGCGACTTTGCCCAGCAGTACGCGGGCGGCAGGGCTTGTCCCGTCATGCTCAGCTCTCTCGTGCTGTCACTCCCGCTCCTCGCCACCATCCCGGTGGGCGGCAAGATTGGCATCCTGACAGCCAGCAAAGGTAGCCTGATGAAGATGCAAAAGAAGCTTGCCAGCGTCATCGAGCTACAGAAAGAGGAGGCGCGCACGCGGGCAGTGCCGGCAGCAGTGCAGCCGAGCGGCATCGAGATCAACTTCTCCGATCCCCGGTTCAAGGCTTGCCCAGCCGCCGCCCGCATCCCAGCCGTTGCCGCCTGCAATCACGCTCACCTTGGTGCTTATGCCGCACGAGCAGGTTGTCGGCCTCGACACCGTGAATTCCTTCAAGACGGCGCTGGCGGACGACTCGGGAGTGGATGACCGCCGCTCAATCGCCATCGAGATTGCGAAGTACTGCAAGCAGGTGGCTTGTGAGGACCCCGCCATATGCGCGTGGCTCATCGAGTGCACCGAGGCGGGCGGGTTTTCGTGGGCCATCAAGCTCGGCACCGGTCTGCCGGTATGGGACCCCGTCACCATTGGCCGTTTCCTCTCGCTCGGCTTCACTTCATCCCTACCTTCAGTGGCGCTCACCCTCGGCGAGACCGGCCAGGTTGCACTTGACCCAAACGAGACGGACGTGAGCAAGGGCCGCCCCACAAAGGCCGAGCATCGCTTTGGGCCAGAGTTTGAGGAGATGCTGCAGTGAGATCAGAGGGTGTGGTAAATGCCATGCCCCGTGATCCAGACCGCCTCGTTGAAGGTCGGCCGCTCGTTGCCAATCAGCCACAAGGTTAAGTGAGCGCGGCCTGGAGTTAGGTGGAATGACTGGAATGGAGCCTATTTAGGTCCGGTCCGGTCTCTGGTATTAATTAAACGTATACAGGAGAGAGAGAGAGAGAGAGAGAGAGAGAGAGAGAGAGAGAGAGAGAGAGAGAGAGAGAGAGAGAGAGAGAGAGAGAGAGAGAGAGAGAGAGACCGAGGGGGGGGGGCTGCATGTGGACGGAACTCAGGTCGTAAAACGTACGAGTGTTCGTGTGTCACCTGTCGATTCCGCCCCGACACTGGCTGGGTCGCTGGGCCCGGCAATGAAGACGGGCCTCTTGCCCGAGAACAAGAGTCGCGGCTCGTCGAGTGACGACGATGCGATGGGCGACGAGCAGGCGATGGAGTACGATGGTCGGCAGCCAGCAGCGTCAGAGGCCGAGCCGTCCGCTGCGGCGGAGCAGAGGTGCGGCTGCTCGGATGCAAAGACGATTGAGGTGATCGCAGTGGGCCAGAACGTGCTGGCGGTGATCCTCGCGCGCGCCTGGGCAGACCTCCTATTCGAGGTGCTCCAAGACCAGAACGTGATAAAGCAGACACGTTTGACGTCTGAGTTGGCTCTTTGGCTCACAGGTGGCCATGCCAATCGCGTCGGGCATTCCCCTGCACGCCACGACGACATGCGCGTTTGACCTGCGCTGCCTGGCGGTGATACTCACACTGGGCGCGCTCGCCAACCAGGTCTGCGTTGGGCACTGCTTTGTGAAGGGACCAATCGTCTCCCTGATGCCTGCCGTGGTCGGGATGACAACCTCCGGCACTGTCACGCCCTCAGCGCTCAAGTGCCGTGACGACGAATCCAACGGCGATCTGCTCTTTGCATTGTACTACCTCGCCTTTGCGCTGCTGCTCTTTGCGACACTCAACGAGCTGAAGCGGAGGCTGACCGAGCCTGGCGACAAAAACCTCGCGCGGAGGTACGCCGTCGGCATCACCACCCTCGCGTCCAATTTTCTCGCCCTGTCGTCCGCCGCCATCCTCAACGCCACTAGCAAAAGCGAGCTCGCCTTCAACGTCAGCTAGAGACCAACCCCGAGGGCGACGGATGGTCGCGGTGAGGCCGTTGAGAGGTGTGGCACGCTCTTGCCATAGGCGCCCGAGTACCTCGCCGCCTACACTGCAGGCCTTGTCACCGAGGTGCGGCTGCCGCTGACTCAGCCAGCAGTTGCGCGCGTGCGTGTTCTCCCCTCGGCGCTAGCCGCTGGCCAGCGTCTCTGTTGCTCCTCCTCGCTCTCTGCTCTCGCCGGCTCCGAATTATCTCCCTTCCTCGGACGTATTACTGCGGACCAAGCGCGATTGATTGCCACAGGTGCGGCTGCCAGACCCGGCGCTTTGCCAGGCCATGTGGGCTATGGCCGCGTTCCTCTGGCTCCCGCGCGTGCTAGCGAGGTGACACTACCATTGTACCAAGACATTGCCTCATCGCCGCTTGGGAGCTCCTGGACTCACACTAGGCAGGGCGTCTCTACCTCGCTGCATGCACAGCCCGCTGCCGCTTCCCGACGTTCTGGCTCTGACGCCCCCCGCCACCCTCCCCCACAGCCTCTCGCCGCTCCTCTCGCAACGGCCCGTCTTCTTCGACTTTGCGATCAAGCTTTTCGCCTTCTACGTTGCCTTCCAGATCCTCAACGCCATCCTCACCACGATCGCAGTGTCGCAGCAGACGTCCGTTGTCGTCTCGAGCGGCGACGCCCCCATCTTGGAGAAGGCTGCCCTGGCCGTCTCAATGGCGCTGCTGGCTGTGATGAGGGCGCTGCTGCCCTCGTCGGGACAGAAGGTCGGCCTGGGGGCGATCGCCGCGCCGGGGCCGGGGGTCGGCATCCGTGAGGCGACCGAGATGACTCGCGAGGCCTTGCAGCGCACATCAGCCGGATGCTCCGAACCTGGCCAAGCCAGCTTGGATGATGTCTCGCCTGTAGGCCTTTGTTGAGCACACGATCGGCATGTCGCTCGGCTGGAGCTGGCATCCGTTCATCAAGGCGCTCTTCCTCGGAAGTTGCGCGCTACTAGCGGATGCAGAGGCCAGAGCCCACGCCGAGGAGGCTGAGGAGGAGGAGGTGGAGGCAGGTGCCGTGCTGCTCTACACGCTTGCCGCGACCGTGTGCGCAGGCCGGCTCTACTTTTGGCTCTGGCACCTCGCCGCAGCGCGGAGAACGCGCGAGGCGGAGGGCGCGGCCGACGCGGGCTTCACGGCCGACTCTGCCGACGCTGGCGACGGTGGCGACGATGGAGGCGGTGGCGAATGAGGCGAGGTCCGCGCTCCTCGTCGTAATGTGAGTGTGTGCGCGGCAGGCACACATCCGCGATAATATTGTGTATATAATTGCAGGCATGACATGATTGCAGGGGCGGGAAGAGAAGTGCCAGCTAGGCAGCTACCAGCTTGTGTGTGTTAGGGGGCATAGTGATCTGTGATCTGTAAGGGTCCGCCCGCAGGCGCATTAGGGCATAGTACCGGACGGCCCTTAGTAACCTGGAGGTACGAAGACAGCATTAGAGAAAAAGTGATGACACAAGACACGTTTACAAGCAGAGGGCACCACTCTCACACGCCTGCTACGGTAAGTGAAGACTGAACGGAATGACGACAGCGATAGAATAGCCCAGAGAAAAGTGTGGCATCGCGCTAGCTGCTGGCCGCTGCGTGCGCGATATACGAGCCTAACCCATTCTGCGCCCAGACCCGCGTTGGTTACCTGGAGAGCGTCTCACCATTCGGTGGGTAGTACACTGCCCTCGCTGCTGGACTGGGGGATGCCCCGCGCGCCTGACCCAGGCGCGAGAAACGAATCTGCGAGGCGAGGCCGCTCATGCGGCCCGATGGGGAGGAATGGGGCGGACTACGGGGATCGGCTTCTTACACCGCCCTTCCTTGCAGCGAGCCCCCTCCAACCCACCCCCGCTAGGTCTCGGGGGACGCAGGGGTCACACCCTGCTGGGGCAGTCGGAGAAGGGGCAACTCCGTGCACTGACGGTCGGCCTGCGTGGATCGCGTCACACCAATCCTCGCTACCCAACGCGGCCAAAGGTGTCATGACAACGCTGCGGCGCGGCAGGCTCCTCACCGCCCAGCCCGTTGAGGCCGGCGCGCCCCTCCTCGTCCTGCCGCCATCGGCGCTCATCACCTCGGAGCATCCTCGGCACGCAGCCGGGCTCGCCTTTGTTGCGAGGGAGTTCCCCGAGCTCGACACACCTCCCTTCATGCTCGCACTCGCCTTGCTCCTCGAGGACGCGCGCGCCTCCGCCACCGCAGCAGCGCCAGCGGGTGGGCCGCCTCCGCCGCTAGTGCGGCAGCTGCCGACGGAGGAAGAGCTGTCCCACCTGCCGGTGATGCTGTCGGCGGCACGCCTCGCCGAGCTGAGAGGCACCGACGCGCACGGCCTCGCCGAGAGCTTGCGGTCCGAGGTGGAGGAGACGCACCGCCACGTCCGGCGGATCGCGCGGCGGCGCGGCTCGCCCTTCAACGGCACCGCTCCGGCGCTGCCTCGCTGGCGGTGGGCGCTCTCGGTCGCCTGGCGGTGCGCCGTGACGCGCCCACCGCTCGCCGGCGAGCGGCGGCGAGAGTCGAGGGCGGCGCTACGCGGCGGCGGCCGTGCGCAGTGGGCGACGGCGGAGGAGTTGCAGTCGCAACGTGAGGCGCTCGTCACCGATGCGATGGACGTCAACGACGCACAGGAGGGGGAGGAGGAGGAGGAGGAGGAGGTGCACGCCGTAGCGGCTGCGCTGTGCTCCGCCGCCCACGGGTCTTCGGATGAGGATGAGCGAGGCGAGGCGCTGGGGCACACAGGACACTTCCAACACACTTCCAACACACTTCCAACACACTCTCCGTCTCCCATTTCACCCACAACGCTGTTGTTCCCTGCCAACGCCCCTCTCTAGCCGCCGCGCCCCAGCCCGCGCCCATCGCACGCCCAGGGCACACTCGACTCTAGGAAGTGTCTAGGAAGTGTCTAGGAAGTGTCTAGGGCACACTCGACTCTAGGAAGTGTCTAGGAAGTGTCTAGGAAGTGTCTAGGGCACACTCGACTCTAGGAAGTGTCTAGGAAGTGTCTAGGAAGTGTCTAGGGCACACTCGACTCTAGGAAGTGTCTAGGAAGTGTCTAGGAAGTGTCTAGGGCACACTCGACTCTAGGAAGTGTCTAGGAAGTGTCTAGGAAGTGTCTAGGAAGTGTCTAGGGCACACTCGACTCGTCCGCGACGCGTCCGCAGGCGCGAGCCTCGACGGCGCTCCGGCGGCACGGCGCGCGGTCCCGTCCGAGGCGGCCACAGCGCGCGTCGAGTGGGCGGCGGACGGCTCGCTCCGGCTGGTCGCGCAACGTCGCCTCTCCGCGTCGGCGCCGGTGCGGCTCGACACGACACGCCCATGACACGACACGTCCATGACACGTCCATGGCGCGTCCATGACACGTCCGCGCAGGTGCGGCTCGACTTTGGGCCTCGCACCAACGCCGAGCTGCTCGTGGCGCGCGGCGAGGTGTTGGCGGCCAACCCGCACGACGCCGTCGGCTTCCACATCGAGGCCCCCCCCCCCCCCCTCCCCCCCTCCCCCTCTCCCCTCCTCGCCCCCCTCTCCGCCTCCGCCTTCGCCACGGCACCGAGCCCGCCGCCGCCGCCACCGTTACCGTTGCCACTGCCACTTGCCTCACCGCCTCACCCGCACTCTCCCTCCCTCTCCCCGCCACCCTCGCCACGCCCTCCCTCTCCGCCGCCGCCCCTCCCGCCGTTGCCGGCGCAGGCGTCGACCCTCGCACAGGGCTCTCTGCGCGAGCGGGAGCAGCTGCTGCAGTCGCGCCTCGGCCTCGCACTCGAGGCGGAGCTGCGGCTCCACCCGAGCGGCACGCTGGCCCGGCTTGCCTAGAGGCGGAAGAGAGACGCCGTGCGCTCGAGCGCTCGAGAGGACACGGTATTCGGCCGTCTCCCGCTGGTCTCCGCTGTATTCAGCTGTACTCACTGCACTCGTGGCCCGCGATGCTCCGGGTACACTGCACGGACCCCTTGCTGACGACTGTAGGACCCAATCACCTACCTGCCTACCGTAGGACCCAATCACCTACCTGCCTACCGTAGGACCCAATCACCTACCTGCCTACCGTAGGACCCAATCACCTACCTGCCTACCGTAGGACCCAATCACGCTCGAGGCGCTTGCCGTGCTCTCGGCGCCGCCCTCCCACCTGGCTGCCCTCGCGCGGAGCCAAGTCTTCGCGCCGCTGCCGCCCGTGCTTGAGCTGGCGGCGCTCGCGACGCTGCGGCACGTGTGTCTCGTGAGGCTGGGCCGGTACGGCTCTTCGCTCGACGAGGACGAGGAAGCGGCGCTCGCCCTAGAGCAGCAGCAGCGGCGGCGGGAGGAGCAGGAGGACCAGCAGGAGGGCCAGGAGGAGGAGGAGGGGGCGGAGGCGTGCGGCGCGCAGTGCGGTGCGCCGGCGGCGGCGAGGCAGGCGGGGCGCGCGGCGGGTCGCGTTGCTGCGGGGCGGCTGGCGGCGTTGCGGCTGCGTGTGAGCGAGCAGCGGGCGATCGAGCGGTCACTCGAGGCGGCTGAGGAGCGAGTCGCGGCGGTGCGGCGGGCGGAGGCAGCGCGCGGCGCGGGGGGCGGGAGGGTGGCGCGGAAGAGTCGCAGTCGAGGCGGCGGCTCGGGTGAGCACGCGGGGTCCGGCCAGCCCGCCGCAGCGAGCGCGGGAGGGAGGCCGAAGGGGGCGGCGGGAGCGGCGCCGGCGGGTGGGCGTGGGGAGAGCGCCCGCCGCGGAGGGGCAGGGGCGCTTCCGGCGAGCGCGGAGCTGGTCGCAGAGCTTGAGGCCGCGGCGCGGGGCGTACCGCCGCTGCGCTGGTCGCAGAGCGCGACTCACGTCCACGTCACCGTCCGCCTGCGGCGGCTCGAGACGCTCTCGCCGCCGACGCTGAGCGGTCGCAGTTTGCATCTCTGCGTGCGGGGGCGGTCCGGCCCCTCCGGCAGTGGAGAGCCGCGTGGCGTGTACAATGCCACTCTGGAGCTGTGGGGGATGCTGCTGCCGCTGCGGGCGACGGACATCACGGCTGGCGGCTCGCTGCTGCGGCTCTCCTTGCGCAAGCCGGACGAGGGCGCGCAGGGGGTGGAGCCCGGCGGCGGCGGCGTGGGCGAGTTTGGTGGGGGCGCCGGCGAGTGGCCTCGCCTCCTCGAGCATCGCGAGCTCGAGGAGCTGCTGCGCCGCCGCGGCACGGTCGGCCCTGACCTCGACGCCGTCTCGCGCGCTCTGGAGGAGGCGGAGGCGGAGGAGCAGGAGAGTAGATGCGGAAGGCTCCCCCCCCCCTGGTGCATGCACGCACTGCTCCTTGGATTCAGTAGCACTCGTCTTCCTCCGAATGCTCGGTCCTGTATCGCCCCACACCCGACCCCGCGGTCTTCAGCCTTCAGGAGCGGGAGGCGGAACGCGTGCGGCAGAACATGCGCTGGCTCGAGGACAAGTGGGCGCGGCAGGGGCGCGCGCACACCACTCTCGCCGACATGGTGGGCCACGCAGCGCCGCTCTCGAGCGATCAGATCGCGGAGCTGGCGGCGCACGGCGGTTTTGGCGGCGAGGGCGCTGCAGGCACCGAGCCCGCCGAGCCGGCGTCGCACGCTTCGCCGCCGCTCGGCGATTTGCGGCAGATGCCCGGGCTCAGCGCGGAGCAGCTGCGCCTGCTCGAGGAGGGGGTGCACCCGTCTCGCATCCCGGGGCTCGAGGGCGGAGTCGACATTGAGCTGGACGAGCAGCAGCTTGAGCGGCTGCGGAGCGAGCGGGAGCGCGGGCCGGGCCCCAAGACGGAGTTGTGACTCTCGCGGCGCGAGAGAAGCAACTAGCAAGAGGAAATTGGTAAATGAAACGATAAGTCTCAGAGGGCGGGGACTCATGTCCCTAACACGTGTAAAGGAAATAAGCAAGTCACACCGCGGCACGCGGGCATGTACACTCTCTGAGCGCTCACACAGAGCTCACAGCTCACACAGGGTCCCGCCGCGGGGCGAGGGCCGTCGTCGGCTTGGCCTTGGGGCGGCTGCGGCGGGCCAGCCCCACCAACGCCTCGCTCACGCGCGGCACCGCCTCCCGCCGCACCCCCGCAGTCGCAAAGAGGGTGGTGTGGAGGTCGTCGATGGCGTGCAGCGCGAAGAGGGCGCAACCGTGCCTGGCCGCCCAGTTGAAGCCGCCGCACCCGCTGCCCGCAGCCACGCACGCGTCGCAGCACTCATCCCACGAGCGGCCTCCTCGGCTGCCCGGCGCGAGGGGAGAGGGCTGGAGCGCCCCGCCGGACGGCACCTCCCACCGGCTCGACGACAGCTTGGTGCACGGCGCAGGCTCGTCGCGCGGCCGCGCTCTGCCTGCTCGGGCATTGCGGGAGCACGAGGCTGCTGGTGCAACAGACTGGGGCGTGTGCATTCGAGGGAGCGCGGACGACCCCTCGCTACGTCCTTGAGGAGAACGACTTTGGTGCACGGCCTTTCTCGAGTCGGCGAGTCGGCATACCGGGGTGTGTGCTCACCATCTAGCGCGCTTTGCCGATCGCCGACGTCGAGTTTGCTGCGGCCTGTGCGGCGGCGCGCGGCGGGGAGGCCAGCGGCGGGGCGGAGTGCACGGAGGGGCGGCTGACCGAGACACACGCCACGTTGACAGTCCTGCGCGGGAGGACGGCGCGCGTTAGCTCTCGAGCGGTGCCGCGGGGCGGGTGGGTGGCCGTAAGAGGTGCGGCTGCGGCCACCGCAGAGGTGGCACGCGTATTCTGGCGGTGAGACAAGCGGGCGAGGAGAGAGGCGGCGGGGAAGAGAGAGGCGGCGCTCTTCATCGCGAGTGTGGGAACGAGTGGGAACGGGACATGCGGCTCAACATGCAGCTCACGGCCGGCTTGTGTTTCAGCCTCTCCCCCGGTACGAGATGTGCAGCCTAGGGCGGCGGTCCTCCCGCTCTCGTCGTGGACATCGACTGGCTGCCGCGGATCATGCACCTGCGCGACGGCAGGGAGGGCGAGGCTGGTGAAGGCTTGTCTCTCACACCGCGCTTGCCACCACAAAGGGTTGAGGAGAGGCAAGAGCGGAGAGAGAAAATGGTAGTGCGTCGCCCAGTAGTCCGCGTATAGGGTCGTGCACCAAAGAGCGACGCGTCCGCGCGAGCGAGGGGGTGAGCCCGAGCTTATAGGCGTAGCGGTAGCAGCAGACGTGTGCGCCGATGCGCTGACGGCGCGGGCACTCCTCGGGTAGCTTGATGGTTGCGGCGTGCAGGATCCCTCGTGTGTGGGATAGCCGCGTCGCCTGTCGCAAGCGAGGCCGCGGTCAGGCTCTCCCTTTACGTGACGAATAAGGATAACGGCACCTTCTTCCAGCCATCCCACTCTCCGAGCACGACGACAGCAGCGGCGCCGCGGCCCCACGTGACTGTCAGCGTGGCGGCCTGCTCGTCCTCTCGCGACGTGTAGAGCCAGAGGAGGCCGAGCGCGCATGCGGAGAGGGCGGAGATGCACAGGCTGGTGCGAGTCGACACCATCGATGTGACTGGCACTAACACAGGTACACCACGGGAGCCGCCCAAGCGACTCCTGCGAGGACGGCGAGGCACTTAGCTCTGCACTCGACCCGCCGGAAGCCGCGCCGCAGGCAAGCTCATTCACAGCCTTGTTATTGGTAAGAAAATACGTGATAGGCGCTGTGCGCTGGTCTGTGAGAGGTTGAGGTGCGATTCACACACAAACGAACATTAAAGCGTCGCTCTCGATCCTAGAGTCGAAAGATTGTGAGCAGCACTCTCCTGAGTGAGTGAGTGAACACACACACACACACACACACACACACGCAGCACTCTCCTCGCAATCGTAGCATCTCTGTCTGTGCGATTGAGCGATTGTGAGCACCCACGCTCGCAATCCTACATCTTCTAGGACTATGAGCAGCTCCGCTCACAATGTGACTGGGGACGCCTACGACTACTACCAGCGCGCTCACAATCCGAGCAAACTCTTAGGGTTGCGAGCAGCTTAGCTCACAATCCTAGTAACATGCCTCCGATTGCGAGCAGGAGCGCTGCTCATCCTACATCTTGTAGGACTATGAGCGGCTGCGCTCACACACAATCGTACCAAAGATCCAAGGAAGGACTGCTAGCACGCGCACAGAGGGCGCTCCCAATCGCTCCAGCCGCGAGCGCTTGTGAGTGAGCGCGCCGGGAGGGTCTCCTCACAATCCAAACAGTAGTCGCACCGATTGCGAGGGGAGCCGCTCGCAATCCTAGAAGTCGTAGGACTGTGTGGGCGGTGCCGCTCGCAATCGGCGAAAGTTCTAGGATTGCGAGCGCTCCTGCTCGCAATCGGAGGCATGTTACTAGGATTGTGAGCTAAGCTGCTCGCAACCCTAAGAGTTTGCTCGGATTGTGAGCGCGCTGGTAGTAGTCCTAGTCGTAGGCGTCCCCAGTCACATTGTGAGCGGAGCTGCTTCATAGTCCTAGAAGATGTAGGATTGCGAGCCTGCGCTGGGTGCTCACAATCGCACAGAGATGCTGCGATTGCGAGGAGTGCTGCTCACAATCTTTCGGCTTCTAGGATTGAAGAGCGACGCTGCTCTCAATCCTAGCCAGGTAGAAAAGAAGGATCACCCGCATTTCCTTAGTGCTTTGCTGTTTTTGCTGTTAATCTCATGAAGGTTTACATTTTCTTCTCACTACCCGGCCGGCGCCCTCTCTCGCGGCAAAAGGGTCGAGCGAGCGGGAGAGTCGCGATGTCTGCGCACCCGCGTGCCGATGGGCGGCACACGCAACCGAGAGAGGCCCTGTCACGCCGCCAGTAGCGTTCTCCGCACTCCCCACGCCACCAAATGCCTCAGTGCGCCAGCCACCTCTTACTCGCGGCCGGCGCCCTCTCGCGGCAAAAGGGTCGAGCGAGCGGGCAGAGTCGCGATGTTCCTCCTCCCTGCGCACCTGGGTGTTCGCCGCCGGTATATGCTCTATCCGATAATCCCCCAAAAAATAGTCTATCCTGTGCCCCAAGTGCCAAGAGGCAAGAGACGGACACGTTTGACAATCAAAATCTACCTCAATAAATAAATAAAACGGGCAAACTCTGAGACGAGATGGGATTTAGGGACATGTGTCCCCGCCCTGCACGATCTTGGTGTGAGGGATCTTCAATCCGTGTCCCCTCACCCCTCGTCACAACCCGACACGGAAGAGCGGCAAGAGTTGGGGCTGCGGCTACGCGGCTGACTGGTGGTTGGGTAGTAGTCTAAGTTCTGAGCCTCGCGGCTTAACGGGTCTAAGTGTGGCTAGCCACGCTGGAGTGCTTACGCGGTCTAAGATCAGCGGGAGCCTCTTACACCGGCTAAGTCGGCCATGGCACGCGATATACGGCGCTCGCGCCCAAATTTTCTTCGCCTGCGCGGCGGGCGATCGATCCTCCTCATGCTCAGCAATCGCCGCCTCAGCATCCTCCTCTTCCGATTCTCGTTGCTGCTTCTTGAGCGCACTTCGGCGACATCTAGCCAAATAGTTCTCACAAATAGCCTCAAGCTCAAACAAACGCATGTCAGAGAAGCCTGTGTATGCTGGTCCTCTTTGAACGATCCGCGCGTGAGGTAGCATAGGGCCTTGTTGGCAGCAGCCAGCTTGTTGCGCTGCTTCGTTGCGATGAGCTGATTGGGATCGCAGAAGTGCATGCCAAGCACCGCCACGATCTTGAAGCAGAACACATCGCAACCGCATCGTCCGCACTGCCATCGGCATGCCGCGCCGCCGCTTCGCCGCAGCCGCCTTAAGGCACGCATAGCGGCAGCACATGGTACGGTGCGCGTACTTGAGCAGGCGTTGCGCGCCGCAAGTAGCGCACTGGCCCTGGGAGACGGCGATATGGCGTCGTGCGCGGCATACGCTGGTCGGGCCACCGCGTCCAGGTATTTTTCGGGTAAACCTGGACTTTTGCAGGTATACCCGGGTTTTACCCGGAGTTGGCCTCGTGTCGTCTAAGTTCATGATGGCCCCCGGCCTTCCAGCGTCTAAGTCTGAGCCCGGCTCCGTGCGGGGGCTAAGTTGAGCGCTCGCTCGCTGCAGAGGCTAAGTGTAGAGCGACCCTCTAGCCCTACTACCCAACCATTCGCGGCTGCGGCTATGAGAGAGGGGCCAATTTGCGGCCGCCCCTCGAAATTTGCTGATCAAAATTTGCGCGGGTGGCCCGGGGGCCGATCGACTAGACGAACGACTAGACGAAAGTCGAAACCTGTACTTTGGCCACAGTTCAGACTTCCCTCTCTCCGGCGGACAGAGACCTCGCTCACAACCCGGACCACACCCCGCGCGAACCGCCCGCACCCGTCAATGGGAGGAGGTGCGATTCTATCCGTCCGACTTTGGCGGCCGCAAGCTGCTCGTGAGCTGCGCGTCCATGCGGCCGCGCAGGTACCGGTCGCTGCCTCCGGAGCAGCCCGACTTGGGGGGCGCCGTGGCGAGGCTGCCGGTGAGCCTCTCGTTGCCGGTGAGGTCGAGGTGCCGCAGGCCGAGCGACCCGAGCGCGGCGGGCACCGACCCCTCGAGTCGGTTGTCCGAGAGCTCGAGCTCGGTCAGGGAGCGGAGGCGGGAGAGGGAGGCCGGGAGCGTGCCCGAGAGGCGGTTCGACTCGAGGAAGAGGTACTGCAGCGCGCGCGGGAGTGTGTCGGGCAGCGTGCCGGAGAGACGGCAGCGCGAGCACTCGAGCTCCTGCAGCGAGCCGGGCAGCGAGCGCGGCAGCGTGCCCGAGAGTGCCGTGCCGAAGAGGTAGGCGTGCGTGAGGCGTGTGCAACGGCCCAGCGGCGGCAGCGTGCCCGAGAGCGCGGAGAGCCCGTTCAGGTCGAGCACGCGCAGCGAGGCAAGCAGGGAGGGAAGCCCGGTGGGGAGCGAGCCGTTGGCCCGCGAGCCGCTCAGCGCCAGCTTGGTCACCGCGCCGTCCCAGCCGCAGCTGACGCCCCGCCAGCGGCAGCACTCGGCCGCGGGCCTGCCGCGCCATGCAGGCACCTGCAGGCTGTCGCGCAGGAGGTCTGCGGCCTCGGGGTCGGCACAGAGGGCTGCCGCCGGCGCAGAGTACTGCCGAACGACATATCGAAGCTCCGGCTCGTCGGGCGCGAGCCAGACGGCACCGTCGGCAGGCGAGAGCGTGGCGAGGCTGCTCGGCGCGGCCCAGGTGAGGAGGAGGGAGGCGGGAAGGACAAAGCAGAGAACTTTCGCAAAGTTTTGCTGGAAGGCAGGGCGCATGGATCTTGATGTCGACCGCGTCGGGGGCTGCCGCGGCAGCGCCTGACACTGGCTCCGCCGCAGCGGGCGCAGACAGATTGCTTGTGGCGCGCACGATGCGGACGGCCGCCCAGCTCGCGATCTAAGTGAACAAAGAAAGAATAAAGAAAGCAGACAACCACGGGAGGGATGGGAGGACGGCACGCCGCCACCACACAGGGATTTTAAGGAGAGGGGTGTGATGCGCTAGCCGTCGCCCACCCTAGGGAGTCTGCCTCTTCCTATCTCTTTTCGCAGTCTCTCGCCGCTTCTCGCTGCAACCTTCATGCCACCTCGCGGCCGTCCCACTCTCGTCGTTCTCTCCCTTGTCACTTCCTCCTCTGTCGCGTCATTCTCTTCTGCCTCGTCCTGCGCCGCCGCCGCCTGCCGTTCCCTTGTTCTCTCGGCTTCTTTCGCCTTTCGGCGCAGCTCCGCCCTCCTTGCTGCATATCCTGGCCCCTTGCTGCTGCCGCCGCCGCCGCCGCTCCACCCGATCCCCGTGTGTCGTGAGTGAGAGTAATGCTTTGTGTATGGCAGATGGCACCCGCGGTGTGTCCCGCGTGTGGCGTGTGTGTGTGTGTGTGTGGACACTTGTCACTTGCGCCTCCATGATGAGTAGACCGTCTGCGCAGCGCTCTCGGAGAGGCGCTTTGTACTCGGGTTTGGATGGTAGCATGGTAGCGGGGGCCCCGCCGGAGGCTGGTCGCTGATCGAGTGTGGCAGCCCAGCTGGCTGAGTGTCTAGTGAGTTTGTGTGTCTGTGTGTGTGTCGCTCGATCGATCGAGCGTGCCGTCACCTTCTGTCGTCTGTATTGCGTCCACCCACACCGTGCTGGTGTCCAGTCCGAGACTGAATGTTCTCTGCCTTCCTATCTATCCGTGTAACCATCTCGCATCTGTTCGCGTCGGGCCGCCTCCGCGGGTTTTGAAGGTACGGCTGGCCTCAGGAGAGAGAGAGAGATCGTTTTGGCCTCAGTGGTCTTCTGTCCGCCTCGGAAGGCTGCTGAACAAGCCACACGGGACTTCACACGGGCACATGTGCATGTTGTGAGTGTGGGTGTGGTTCTGTGGATGGTGGGGGGCGCGTTTTTCTTTTTTGCGATATTGCATATTCGCGGGAGAAGGTGAAGGTGATGGTGTTTTTTGGTGCAAGACATGGGTGATTCACATGGGAAAAAGAAGTGCTGAAACGGCCTGAAGAGGCGACGGCGCGAGACACACAACACACTCCACACGGTACGTGCGAGTACGACACACATACAC